GTTCCCAGCCTTGATTTTAAAGTTCCCAGCCTTGATTTTAAAGTTCCAGCCTTGATTTTAAAGTTCCCAGCCTTGATTTTAAAGTTCCCAGCCTTGATTTTAAAGTTCCCAGCCTTGATTTCAAATTGCTGCACAACCTTGCTGCTACTCCTGAACTGCTGTGAGATATCAGTGCTCCTCTAAAGCTGACCTGTTGCACATCCTTGATTTTAATCTTTCTGCTGTTGGGTTCTGTCTCTTCGGCTGTCTAGGCCCTGAACTTTGGAATTCCTCCCTCTACTATTAGACAGGGTTTGAAGCTTGTAACAAAGCAGTATAATAATTATGGAGAATTTTTAAACTTTATATTAGCATACAAGAGTATTAACACTACATCATCCAATAGTGTTTGTTGTGCTTCAATATATTAAAATGTAATCTTGAGTGCATTGTGTATTTTCTAACATTTGGCTGTCTATGTTTACAATGTCAAACTTTCTCATAACTTTAGATATATCTATTGGACCACCCTTGGTCTTTTTTTTTAATTAAAAAACTTAAGCTGCTCCAATTGTTTTCTGTTTGATGTAGCCTGTGTTTTTTAATCACATATCTTTTGATGCCTGTATATCCTCCTTAATTAGGTGGAGACCACAACTGTTCACAGTGCTCTATAAATGTGGTCTCACCAAAGTTCGGTATAAGTTTAACATAAGTCATCATATTTCGGTCCTCTAAACCAATGGCTTTGTTTGTTTTTTAATTGTCTTATTAACCTTCTTTGGTTCTCCTGTTTTATACTAACTTTTTTTTCTCTAAACGAATGTGACTCTCATCTGTCAAAATGTACCACTTCATAGTATATGTTGAAAATCATTTGTTATTTACATGCAATTCAGATTTATTCATGACTTTGCTGCATTTTACATTCTGTACTACCTATATCCCACGTTTGGTGTTGATTTCGAATTAACCTGTCAATTCCTAAGGACAAATAGTTAATAGCAATGGTCAATAACCATTGTCCCTGTGGAACACCGCTTCCCACATTTTGTTGCTCAGATTTGCTATTTTTAACTCTTCCTCAACACACATCAAGATAATTAAAAGTTAAAGTAGAAATAAGTCTCTAGTTTGTCTAGGTCTCTATTCTGACGAATAGGGATTCTAGAGTAATTAATCAAATAAATAAAATGCAGTTGTAATGACGTAATAGGTGATGTGTTGCAGCTGCAATATATGGGAGTTGCTGGGGACCAAGATCATCAAGAGAACACATCTGTAGTAAGTGTTTGCAACTTGAAGAACTTCCACATCCAAGTTGATGAGATAGACACACTGTGCCTGTTCAGGGAGGGGGAAGATAGCCAGATACGTACCTCTGAAGCAGTTGCACCTCTCAGATTAAGTACTTCTAATTTGGTGTGTGATCAGGGATTGGGAATAAACGATTGCAGGTGATGCAGTACACAGTTGTATTTGAGGTGCCTCCATCCATTCAATAATGCAGAACCTATGAGATTCTCGCAGGCTGTGCGGACAGGAGTAGAGGCGGTACGAAGGAAGAATGAATTCACTTGACACTAAGGTGCAGGTACCCAATCGAGTGGCAAGGCGGAGATGCTGTCACTCAAAAATACTAGGGAAACTAACGTGGCTTAAAGATGATGAGTACCCTGGACCTGATAGGTGCAACCTAAGATATTTAAAGGAAGTAGCTGCTTAAGTAGTGGATATACTGGTAGTAATCTCCAAAGAGTCCTTGGATTCTGGAAGAGTCCCAGAGGACTGGAAAATTTCCAATTAGTAACTACTAGCTAGTTAGCTAAATCTTCACCTTCTGTTAGGAAATAAGGCAGGGCAAGTGACTGAAGTGTCAGTGGAGGAACACTTTGGGGCGTGATCATTATTCTATTGGCTTTAAAATAATTATGGAACAGGATAGAACTGATCAAAAAGTTAAAGTCCTAAATTGGAGTAAGGCTAATTTTGATGGTCTGAGCGAGACTTTAAAAGATTGGTTGGGGAAGGCTATTCACGGCTAAAGGGGAAGTTGGTAGGTGGGAGGCCTTTAAAAATGAAATAACCAGAGTTCAAGGACAGTATGTTCCTGTTAGTGTGAAAGGCAAGGCTGGTAGGTCTCTGGAATGCTGAATGATTAGAGAACTTGAGGCTCAAGAAAAAGGAGGAATCAGGTGTAGACAGCTGGGATGGAGTGTATCCCTAGAGGAGTATGAGGGCAGTAAGAGTATATTCAAGGGAAATCAGGAGGGCAAAAAGGGGACATGAGATAGTTTTGCCAAAGCTGAGTTAAGGAGAACCCAAAGAGGTTCTGCAAGTGCATTAAGGACAAAAGATTAACAAAGGAGAGAACAGGGCCCCTTTTTAAAGATTAGCGTAGCCGTCTGTGTGTGAAACCACAGGAGATGGGGAGGATGCTCAATGAATATTTCGCGTCAGTATTCACTATTGTGGAGACCAAGGGTGGAGGTAGAGGGTGCTTTTCAGGCCCTAAGTCTTTTTCTTGGGGTGGGGGATTCCAAAACTAGAAGGCATAGGTTTAAGGTGAGCGGAGAAAGATTTAAAAGGGACCTGAAGGGCAACTTTTTACACAGGGTGATGCATGTATGCAATGAGCTGCCAGAGGACATGGGTAGAGGTGGGTACAATTACAACATTTAAAAGGCATCTGGATGGGTTTATGAGTAGGAAGGGTTTAGAGGGATATGTGCCAAAAGCTGTCAAATGAGATTAGGTCAGATTAGGATGTCTGGTCAGTGCTGACGAGTTGGATCAAAGGGTCTGTTTCCATGCTGTATGACTATGACTCGGTCATTGGGAAAGTGTTACCGCAAAGGTTTAGCAGAGCATTTAGAAATACACAATATAATCAAGCAGAGTTAACATAGTTTTGACGGCCAAATGGCCTACTTTTGCTGGAAGCATTCAACAGAACAGGCAGAATTACTGAAGAGAAGAACAAATGTTTTAGACCAGTGACCTTTCTTCTGTCATGGAAAATGTTTCAGATTTTTAACCAAGAGGCATGGAAAAGGGGGTGTGTGAGTGCAGGAAATAATTAAAGAGCATGTCTATGATGGGCAGATGTAATGGAGTGATAAAATGAATAGCAGAACGGTTGCCAGAACCAGTTGTGTGGAAATGTTTAAGTTCTAAGCAAAGGAGCTGTGCTAATCACAGTCAGGTAAACACACTTCAAATCTCATGCCGTCATGATGCTATCAGAAATTTGAAGTGTCATAAAAATCCGTCAAGAGTTTCACCTTGTGCTGAAAGGAATTCAGTTATTCTTCTTCAACAGCTGTCTAAAGCAACAGGGTTTTATTTATATCACACTACCAGGAGCTGGTCCCTTTAAAAACAGTTTCTTCTTGCATTGGGGCAGGCTTGTCTCTGAAGTGTACGTGGGTCTGGTGTTGTAAAAAGCTGTGTCTGTCCGAAATTGAAATGATCACCATAGAAATTTGACTACTGATGTACAATCAGATGTAACAGATCTCCATTAATAATACTTCTGCTGCCAATAATCTCATACATACACCTCTCCACTAATTTTCCACAAATAATAAAAAGTCAGTAATGGTAATGTAAAAGAAAAGTGAATCTATTGAATAGATAGTGGAAAATGATTCAGGGATGACTATGTCCATTTAAAAGGTGATGCAGATTTCAGTAAGAGATTGATATAAATAGAAACACATCCTGATTCTGTGATGCAAGATAATGTTCGATGCTTCTCCAGAAGAAGTAGTACTTAATGAGGATGAGGGATATAATGGCTTGACCAAGATATTAAAAACTTAAGTTAGCAAAGGCAGTGTGCAGCATTAAACAGATTTAACTTTCCATCAAATGTCTTCTAGCAATTTCTACTCTGCTCTTTGTGAGTTATTTATAACACAGCCAAATAACCTTTTGCATCGCTGTTTCAGGGACTGAACGTTCTCATTTTTGTGTTGCAGCCTGAGGATCTACGGGATATCATAGAAAAGGCAAGGGAAATGGAGCAAAACTATGGGCACTATTTTGATGCAGCTGTTGTTAACACTGACTTGGAGAAGGCGTACCAAGAGTTAATTCGCCTCATAAACAAGCTTGACACAGAGCCTCAATGGGTTCCATCAACATGGCTTCGGTGAGGAGCAAATCAGCAGTTTACAAGTCCTCTTTTCAGCAGTTTGGCAGAAAGTGATCATTAATGAAAACACAGAGTAAAAGAAGAATTAACAAGACATTCCATTTTATACCAGCACTTGGTGATAGAAATACTCATGTAATTACTATTCAGTAACTATTTATAATGTAAATATAGATACAATTCTGGCATTAGTTATCTTTGAATCACCCTGTACATAATCCTAGGTTCAGGCTGTACTGATTTGACCTTTTTAGGTATTTTTATATTTTTTTAAGGTTTCGGCTTTGTGGACAGCTGTTTTCAAGCACTGTTCCAGAGTCTTTCATGAGGATTAAGTACGTAGGCAACAAAGTATATTTTTATGAAATAAAGTAGAATTCATAAATTCCATCACACCGATTTATTAGTATTTATATAATATGATAGACATCATTTTCTCATTCCTCCTAAATTGGAGTGATTCAGAGGCTTATTCATTCGGAATGTGTGATAGTTTTAAGATGTGTTTGTGAGAACCTGATGTATCCAGACTAATAAATTGCTTGTGATCAGAATTTTTTGATCAAAGACTGGAATAGAATTATTGAATGTAATTACTGTACAGTAAAGCATAATTGGCACAACAGGCACCCGAAACTGCTGCCTTTTCAAAAACAAATTGTCAAATGTGAATGTTTTAATTTAAAATAACATGTTTGTCTTGTTGAAATCTCTTCACATGCAATTTTTATTATTAATGATGTTTTGTCTTCTCTTCTGAGAATAACGTTTTTAAACACTGGAATTTTATGACCGTTACAGCTGGAGTTGGCTGATCAGTCTCCAAAAATGATGTTTTTTTTTAAATTTTGCCGAGACTGTATTTTGTACAAAATATTTTTTCCCAGTATTAAACTAATAGTGCAGCAGCACTGGAGGTGTGGTGTGCTTTTCTACCTTTTGATGCTCATCTGCTTGTGCTAAAAGCAAAGCAGCATCTATGAATGGTTGAGGTGATGCAGACTGCAGGCCAAGTGGGACGTTACTGAAGGAAAAGTGTTGACATGCCAACCCTTTTGGCTTCAATCAAGTTTGTGGCACAGGCATTTGAATAATGCATGTGCAAATTATGTGGATTTTAACTTAAGGAATCTATCTTTGAGAGGTACTATCTAAGCTTGTAATATATCTGCATTCACTTGTATAAACAAACTATTTGCAGAGCCTTGATTGTAAAATTGTATTTGTAGATTTTCAATAAAACAAATAACTCTTAGCTACTGTCTTATTACATTATTACTTTCAGAGCTAACCTTGGTGACCAGTATTTTGTCTCCTGTAAAGATCAAAAAACCTTTTTGTGTGAATTAATGATTGCAAGATAGTTAGGATTGGTTTCCTGAACTGTTTAAAATTATAGTTATAAAACAATTGAATTAACAGAACAGGCACAGGCATGTTGGGCCAAAATGGCCTCTATCTGTGCTGCATCATTTTCCAATAAGTGATCTATTGGTGACTTGTGCATACTTGGTTAAGGAGACATTTCATTAGTTCTGTCATTCAGAAAGCTCCTTGATGTCACTCTGACCTCATTGTGTCAGTTTGAACTTAACTTACAACAGTTTGCAGCACAACATTTTATTGCAGGCTGAGGAAGAAGTCTAAAGGTAGCAAGTACTGAGATGCCTCTCCACTCAAAGGATTACTACTGTATTACAATGGATTTGGTTACAGCCCCTTGTGAAGGGTGTTTTTCCTCAAATAGCATGTTTATCATTAACCTGAAGTAATGCTTCAGTTAGGAGTTCTTCAGAATATTGTGTAAAGCAGTGTTTCTGTTTTGCCATTCTGCACTGAGCATTAACTTGTCACTTGTTGGAGTTGAAAGACCATATCTTATTCCATCTGAGTACATGGTCATTTTAATATAGTCATTAATGGAGTTGGCAGAGAAGATTGGGAGCTGAGTATGCATGCAATTAACACAAATTTGAATGTGACACCTTAAATTTTAATGACCGATTTTAATCTTCCTCTTTTTAAGCTTCCTCTTGACGTAAATGTGTTGAAAATTGCTATATTTGAAACTAATCGGGAGTTCTTGACTAATCTAAACTATGGCTATTGGTGTCTTTAATAAGAGAAAGTAAGTAGGGTCAGAATCCCCACCAACTGGACTTTCTGAAACACGAAAGAGGAGCCTCAAAACTCAGTGCTGCAAATAAAGCCAACCTTCAGGACAAATATATAGGCTAAATTCAAGTAGTGGCTCAGCTTGAGGGATTCAACATTGTCAGACTGGTATAATGGGGCAATGATGCAGGAAAATGCTATTTCCTGTCTGTGCTTGGTGCAACCAAGAGATTAATCCCCTAATACAATAATAACCTAGCCATTGTAACAATGATGAGTTCCCTTTGAGAGAAACAAATTATTTAAGCCTCTGTCTAAGAAAAAGATTGCTGCACTGTTGCCACGTCGTCTCCAGACAGCAGGCAAGATACATTGAACCATTGTAACTGATTATGTTGGACTTTTTTTTCCTCATGGAAAAGCACTGCATTGTTTAACTGATACCTGGCTGAATGGTGAGTGAAATGCATGAAGGAGGATTAGCGCACTCGCATTCTGACCAACTGAGAAATGTTTAATGCAGTAGTGATATGTATGATGCAGATTATTATGAGCAGTACCCCGAGGTGAAGCAATGACTGCTATCAAAAGAAAGGTGAGGACTGGTCAGTCTAGCTGAAGCCTACAATCAAAATGAGGAAGACCAGCGTGTTGAAGAATTGTAAGCGTTCTAGCTAAATTGTAGTGACCTTGTTTGGATGAGTCTGCAGTCAGAAACAGTCAATCTGGCTCTTAGACCAACAGTTCCTACTGGAAGGACCAATTGTGTGCTGGATTCTAAGTTATCGACCAGATCTAAGGGATACTGACGCTGAAAGGTCAGGGTAATCAAAGGGTAACTACCAAATCTGAGGGGCTTTGGGAAGAAATGTGCAGTATTGTGATAATTTTTTCTCCTAAATCATCTTGGCTCTCAGCCAAAAGACACAAAGTTACCAAGATTGAAGTGTACAGAGATTGGTTTGTCAGATTTCAATCAAAGTGGTGTTTAATCTTTAGACTAGTTTAGACCTTTTGTATCAAGGCATTTAGAGGTTTGTTTTAATAAAACTTGTGGTTGAGCTAAATATTGTGTCTTAAGATTGTATGGAGAATAAAATCTAACGTTCAGGAACTGTTGTAAGGCAGTGAACAGGAACAGCTAACAAATGTCAATACTAAATGCCTTTTGGTAGACATGGTACATATTTTCTTGGGTGAGTGTTATAATGTATGAGGTGTTTTCCTATCAGCTCAAACACTACCCACCAGAAGCTCTCCAGCTTCCAATGCCAAATCCTAAAATCATCTTCAATGGATGTGCTAAATAAATGTCAGCCATTTCCCCGCTGGATGCCAGTGCAGTTTCTGAGGGCTTCTCTAGTTAGCTGATCTGCCAGATGTCTGGCAACAGATTTACCATAGTTTGTATAACCCCAAGGAGGTAAGAATAGCTTATCTCCAAGTTTTGTCTTATGTGCGTTGACATATTTTTAGCTGAGTATTTTGAAGGCTATTAAAAACAATTGTTATTCAACACTTATGAAAAATCTCCTGCTTGATTTCTGTGGACTTTTCCAATTTGGTTTTAATTTAGCTATTTGAGTTTATATTTAGTGACTTTAATGTCTCTTCCTTTCTGAAGATTCTGAAGCTGTATTTGTGCTCCTATTAAACAGCTGAAGAGGAGCCCTGACCCGAAACATCAACTTTCCTGCTCCTCTGATGCTGCCTGGCCTGCTGTGTTCCTCCAGCTCCATACTGTGTTATCTCTGGTTGTTAGCTGTAACAGCATTGCCTCTGAAGACAGTTGTAGGTTGCCCTTAAACCTAAAGAAGCTACTGGCTGTGGAGTATTGTCAGGGGTACATTAGAACCTGAAGTAAATATTATTAAAAATTTCACTTAATTTGTTTTCAGGAATATGTATGAAAAGACTGAAGACTAAATGGTCCATTTAAATTATTCCATCCAGGAAGAGAGTATTGCTACATCATTTCCAGGATTTTGCATTATTTTAAATCAAAAGAATAAGGACACAAATGGATTAGCTACTGACTCCTCAATGGCACATGCAAGTCAAACAGATAAAAACTGTCATCAATTGGTCTTTTTATACAGAAGCTGTCTCTTTTGTCACTAAAGGTGGGAATGGAAAATACGCATCACTAACCATGTCCCCAGTATACATCAGAAATCAAAAGTATGAATATGATACTATTTTCAAAAGAGTACACTTTGCATTTATTTCTATTATCTATCATAATACTTGCTAATTCAATTATTCCCTCACTCTCTTGTAATTGCTTATTATTTTAAGGCAGCTTAATTTTCCCAAACTAGAACTTTTAGAAAGTTATAATAGAAATTGGTTGTGAACTGCATGAGATATTTGTAAGTTAATTTACTTCGAGCTTAGTTTAGGTTGATATTTGTTTCTGTAATCCACCATCCATTGGAAATGCCCTTAGAAACTGTACTGACATTCTAAGGGGAATGAGCTGACCTTTATTTAGCACATCCATTGGAAAAGGTTAAGGATTAAGCATTGGAGAGTGGTGGCGAGTAGTATTTGAACTGATGAGCAAATGTCTTGTCCACGCACTCGACCAAGAAAACGTTCTGGCAATGTATTGAATCAGTATAGAGTTTGAAGTTGGGTCCTAAAATGAGGTACTTCAATTTCAGCTCCAATCTTTGTAAACTTCTGGCTCAACAATCTGTTTTCAATTAGTGCTGAAATGTTGAGTCAGTTTTGCACTTGGGGTTTCACACTTCCCCCACATTGAAGTTCTGGTGCTTCTCCCAATACATTTTAAGGCCACCTGCATCCTGATACTTCTCGTGATGTGGAATGAAGAATTAACCACGTGTTGAATGCCACCCTCGAGATATATAGATATCTCAGGAAAATGTGTGGAACTGGCCATACTGTACACAAAAATAAATTATGTCTATTTTTCACTTCAGGTAGCCTTGTGTCTTCAGCCTGAAAACTATATTAAATGTTACTTTTGTCAGGTACTGAATATTGAATTGAGACTCCACAAACATATTTCAACTTCAATTTTTTATGACTAATGGTAGAGGGGGAGGGGGGGGGCATCTTCCATTATTTAGGCCAGATTTGAAACTAGCTTCAGTATCCAAGGAGAAAATAATATATTCCCCGCTCCATCATTAGACCCCTGACTTCTAATTTCCTGATAAAGTTGGTTCAATCAGATTATTGTGTATCATGTTGAAAAGAAAGGTGTTGAAAATTTTGCATTTGTTCTGTTCAGAACAAGATCGATGTCA